GCATCAAGCAGAATGCCTTGCCAGATGAATGGATTTGCATTAGTTATTATTTTGTGTTTATTTTTTTTAGTTGGAGTCTCACTCTCTCACCAGGCTAGAGTGCAGTGGCATGCTCACAGCCACTGCAGCCTCGATCTGCTGGGCTCAGGCAATCCTTCTGCCTCAGTCTTCCAAGTAGCTGGAATTACAGGCACGCAACACAACACCTGGCTAATTTTTTTATTTATCGTAGAGATGAAGTCTCTCCAAATTGCCCAGGCTGGTCTCAAACCCCTGGGCTCAAGCAATCCTCCCACCTCAGCCTCCCAAAGTGCTGGGATTACGGGTGTGAGCCATCACGCCCGGCCTGACTTGCATTATTTATTAAGACAAATATGACCATGTCTCTGCTTAAAATCCTTCTGCAGTTCTCTGCTGTACTCAGAATAAAATCTCCAATCCAGCTACCTCTGAGATCCTTCTTCTCCATTCTCACTTCCAGCTACCCTGGCTTCCTTGCTGTTCACCAAATACACCCAGCTCTTTCCTGCCTGAAGGCTTTAGGGCCAGTGGTTTCTCAATCTTAAAAGTGTTCTGCCCCCACTCTGTCTGACTCATCTGTCAGTATTCAGGAAGGCCCTCCCTGATTTTCTTATCTCAAGCATATCCTTTTACAGCACTCTACACCTTTGACTCTGATGAAAGTATTTTTGTATCAGGAGTTGTGTGTCTCTGGCAATACTGCAGCCGCAGCTCCTGGCCCAGGACCATGGGTTTATTTGAAGGTACCAGCCTATTACAGATGGTTTAAACATGTCATCTGCAGTGCTAGGGACCTAGTTTCTGGCTCCAGGCCCAGGAGATGAGAAGGATGGCATTGCAGGTAGATAGGACACTGTGTGGGTCAGAGGAAAGGGCATTCTAACCGTCTTAAAGGCTCAGGATTTTAACGTAGGCCACTGCTGGCATGACAACTTGCAAAAACATTAGAACAGGATTCTTTTTAAACTGACTTTTCGCCACTTACTTAATCTGGTTGAATTGGCCAGTGTGATTGTGCCATTTTTAGTTCTATATGCAAGTAATGTGAATCATGATTCAAGATCCTAATTAAAGAGAGAAACATTTGTAGTCGAATAATAATTTTTTTTTTTTTTTTTTTTTTTTTTTTGAGTTGAAGT